TGTGTGTGTGTGTGTGTGTGTGTGTGTGTGTGTGTGTGTCTATGTGCGCCCGCGTACGTTCTAAAAAGTAACACAGTAAAATTGGTAATACTCTTAACAACGAATATTCCGAGCTCTAAAAAGCAAACCGAAATACTGACAGAGAAGAAACCCGCTGAGAAGACCAGCTGTGGCTCCCTCCTGCACGAAGGCCCCAGCGCCGTCCTGCCCAACGCCTCGGCCGCCGTCAGTCTGGAGAGCTCTGCTGAGGCTGGTGAATATATATTTTTTTGTCTTAATTTGTTTGTCTGTTTTCGTATATTTGGTGCTAGACGGAAGGGCGTCTCGTGTCGATTTCTTAAATGAAAAATCAATGCCGTTAGATAATAAGCATGAGAAAAAATTGCATAGTTTTCTATTCAATGGCGTCTTCGTTATAGATTAGAGGCGAATGCCCTAACATACACTGACAGATAACATTAAATAAGTAGAAATATATTGTCAGCCATATCCGTAAGTTTCGGAAACGAGGCTTATATGATTTATTAGCACTATCTTGTTCCAAAGCAACCATAGCGGTCTTTCCATAGGTCGTTATGTCGTGGTGAACCGTGACGTCCCGGCGGGCAAGATCCTGATGGCAGAAAAGCCATACTGTGCCGTGCTGAAGCTGGAAGTCGGTGGCACTCACTGCACACACTGCTTTCACCAGTGGGTCGCACCTCCTTGTTATTTCAAGCACATTGCGTCATGATGTAGGAGTGAAATATGAGAAACAACGTAATAATCGTACATTTATTTGTTTATTTATTATTATTGTGATTTTATTTTATTTATTTATTTATTATTATTATTATTAGGATTTTATTTTATTTATTTATTATTATTATTATGATTTTATTTTATTTATTTATTATTATTATTATTATTTTATTTTATTTATTTATTATTATTGATTTTATTTAATTTATTAATTATTATTATTATGATTTTATTTTATTTATTTATTATTATTATGATTTTATTTTATTTATTTATTTATTATTATTGTGATTTTATTTTATTTATTATTATTATTATGATTTTATTTTATTTATTATTATTATTATGATTTTATTTTATTTATTTATTTATTATTATTATGATTTTATTTATTTTTTATTTAATATTATTATGATTTTATTTTATGTATTTATTATTATTACTATTATTTATAACGGTCCCTTCTCGTTCCGTCTTAGGTTAGTTGACAAAGCAGCGGTGCCTTGTCGGTGGTGCTCCGGTGTGGCGTTCTGCGGACCGCGATGCCGCGATCTGGCACTCGCCACCTACCACCGCTGGGAGTGCAAGTTCTTCAACCTCCTTCGAGGGTCAGGGATGTCACTCAACTGCTACCTCGCCCTCAGGATCATCACGCAACACGGCCTTCACTTCTTCAAGAAGGTGAGACTCACTAAGCATCCATGTATACTGAATTATGGCAGTGAGCAGGGAGAGAGGGAGGGAGGGAGAGAGAGGGGGAGAGAGGGAGAGAGAGGGAGGGAGGGAGAGAGAGAGAGAGAGAGAGAGAGGGAGGGAGAGAGAGAGAGAGAGAGGGAGGGAGGGAGGGAGAGAGAGGGGGAGAGAGGGAGGGAGGGAGAGAGGGAGGGAGGGAGAAGGGGGGAGAGGGAGGGAGAGAGAGAGAGAGAGAGAGAGAGAGTCGTATAACTTCGTATAATGTATGCTATACGAAGTTATTACGAGCGGTGCCTTGTCGGTGGTGCTCCGGTGTGGCGTTCTGCGGACCGCGATGCCGCGATCTGGCACTCGCCACCTACCACCGCTGGGAGTGCAAGTTCTTCAACCTCCTTCGAGGGTCAGGGATGTCACTCAACTGCTACCTCGCCCTCAGGATCATCACGCAACACGGCCTTCACTTCTTCAAGAAGGTGAGACTCACTAAGCATCCATGTATACTGAATTATGGCAGTGAGCAGGGAGAGAGGGAGAGAGAGGGAGAGAGAGGGAGAGAGGGAGGGAGGGAGGGGGAGAGAGAGAGAGAGAGAGGGAGGGAGAGAGAGAGAGAGAGAGAGAGAGGGGGAGAGGGAGGGAGGGAGAGAGAGGGGGAGAGAGGGAGGGAGAGAGAGGGAGAGAGAGGGGGAGAGGGAGGGAGGGAGAGAGAGGGGGAGAGAGGGAGAGAGAGGGGGAGAGGGAGGGAGGGAGAGAGAGGGGGAGAGAGGGAGAGAGAGAGAGAGAGAGAGAGAGGGAGAGAGAGAGAGAGAGAGAGAGAGGGAGAGAGAGGCAGGAAGAGGGAGAGGGAGAGAGAGGCAGGAAGAGGGAGAGGGAGAGAGAGGCAAGAAGAAGGAGAAGGAGAGAGAGAGACAGTGAGAAACAGACAAAGAAGTAAAACTCACTTTCCGTTACTTCCTCTCCCCAGCTGCGTCATCGCCTGCAGGAGCCTCCGCAGTTGCCCTCGGCGTCCTCCCCGCACCGTCCCAACGACTACCTCAGCCTCTACCACCTGGTGGGCCTCGAGGAGCACCGAACGCCCTCGGATCACTTCAAGCGCACCCTCATGTCCGCGTTCCTGCTGAAGGTGCTGCAGCGAGCCCATTTCTTCGGGAAGTGGGACGAAGACGGTATGCGAATTTGTGTATATTTTGTTATTATTATTCAATGGAAAAAATCCACACTGATTGAAATTTTAATAACTGAAAAAAACTTTATTAATAGGATTCCATTTCACGTCACAGCTAATAAGCCCGATGCGGACTTGAGTGAGGACGAACTCTTGATCGGTAGTCTACTGCTGCGCCATCTGCAAATCCTCCAGTTCAACGCACACGAGGTGGGCGACTGAGTACATCGTGGTAATAAACTCGTATTTTCTTTAATGCTTGGAAAATGGTGGGTGCAAAGTTATGTTCTCACGTTGATTATTGTTCTTTTTTTCTTCAGCTTAGTGGCATGGCTTTCGGAGATACCAAAGAGAATTTCAAAAAGACAAAATCAGTCTATTTAGGCTTAGCGGTTTACCCAACTGTGTCGTTTTCCAACCATTCGTGTTACCCCGCTGTCGGCAGGTAGGACATCAAAATGTTAATCAAATTTATAGGACTAAATACCCGTAAATGACAGTAATAATGGATTATCTACTTACGGCCTGAGATAAGGAGTAATTTCATCGACCTTAATTATGATGACTCACTTTCCCCCTTGATTTATAACGACTTTTTATGGGTCTTAATCTCTCCCAGGTACTTCGATGGCAACAAAATGGTAATCGTCAATCTCCGACCTCTAAAGACAGGTGAAGTTCTGTACGAGAACTATGGCCCGGTTTTCACACACAATAAGCTCCTGGAGCGCCAGAGGAAGCTCAGTTCCAGATACTGGTTCAAGTAAGTTGGCCGACTGGGCTTGGAGAATGAATTTAAAAAGATATGTAAGCCATATAAGCTGTTTCTCCTTCATGTATACGTCACGGTATACACACCCATACACACCCACAGACACACACACACACACACACACACACACACACAC